TTTATTTTACTTACTTAGAAATTTGGATCCTGGTTCTCAGGTACAAGAGCCTGCCCCGAGGGGAGTATAATTGCAGCTTAATTTTAAACATGTATTTTTGAGAACTACTAATACTCAATAATATGTTTCTTTAATATAAAACTGTATATGAGTTTTTTTTATATAAAACAATCTTCAGTTAATTGTCTTTTTCTTTGTCTTGTATACTCATGAGAGTATATTCAGTGGGCAGTACTTAAAATGTTCACTGACTACAGTTGTACTAAAAATACAGCTCCGTTAAATTTAAGCCAGACGACATTTTAGGATCCCCTACTGCGTACATGCATATGAAAGTAGTTGTCGTGTTTGCCCTGGTGGCGGCGATAGAGCCTGTGCAAACTGCTGGAGTCGCATGATCTAAATAGTGAACTACATTTCCCAGCAGGCCTTGCGGTGACTGACAGCATTGTTTCCCTGCCTCACCTTCACTTGCAGAGCAGCTGCTTACTTGCATTTAGGGGAAAGGATTGGGAGGTGCTCAAGGGGTAGCTATGCCGCCTTGTGGCTGTCTGAAGCACTGCAATCTGTGATGTTGAGCAGAGCAGGAACATGCTGCCGCTGCTATCAGCTCCAGCATATGATATGCACTCAAATTGGTTTAGGGTGATCGCCTCTTTATTATTGGGCCTACATAAGGTGTTGCAAGGAAGGACTCTTTGCAGACAGAAGGCGATAGGTGTTGCTGTAGTGAATACAGATGATCTTCTACCTATTGTGTATATTTTTAAAATACACTTTTTATTATTTAGTTGTCATACTTATTGCCGCATACTCCAGCAGGCTTCCCCCCAACACAGGAATACAAAAACATCAGCATTAACTGTTTAACTGTTTCGCAACATCTGGTGCACTCCACATTTATACTAACGTGTCTGGTTCACATAATCTTTACTCCCCGCTTCTCCTGAATTGTAGTTTTCTCAAGCAGTTTGGTAGAGGTGAAGCTGCATTGTGTAGCCCTGTTCTGCATGCATAGAGGCTGTGTCAGTGTAGCCTTTTATCATGCTTCCCTTAACTTCCTTTCCTCTAAAATGGCCTCTTCAACTGTCAGCCTTGGATACAGGGACTCCCAGATACCAGTGGGGAGAGGCAGTGGCGTAGCTAGCCGCTTGGGTGCCCGGGGCAGCGTGCGCGCCCTGCAGTTGGGGGCGGAGTGGGCCGCCCATGGGGGTGGGGCAAGCTACCCATGGAGGTGGGGCGAGCCAAGGCAGGACGCGCTGCGTGGAGTCTCTCCGCAGCCTCCCCATCAGCTGTAGGGTGGCTGAGGTGGTGGGCAGACACAAGCCCCGCGCTGCTCAAAAAAGCAGCGCGGAGCTTGCAGCCAGTCCATCCGCCACCTCCCCCTCAGGAGAGACATGTGGCTCAGGCACGCTGCAGCCCCTGCGGTGTGACGTCCAGTGCCCCCCGCCTCACCTAGCTACGCCTCTGGATTAGGCAGATTCATGGAGGAGAGGACTGTCAAAGGCTACTAGCCATAACTGTGCTCTGCCTGCAAAGTTGCAGGCAGCAATGCTTCTGGTTTCTGGAAATTGCTCGAGGGGAGAGTGCTCCTACAGTGGCGTAGGAAGGGGTGTGCGGTGGGTGCAGGAGTTATTTTTTCAAAAACACACGTTTTTGCCATTTTGCCACCCCTCCTGAGTGTTGGCACCCGGGGTGGACTGCACCTCCCCGCACCCCCTTTCCTATGCCACTGGGGAGAGGTGGACAGAGATGGGAGCGATCCCCTACTTCCGCCTGCCTCTAGTTCTGCAAAATTGATCACAAACAGTGCCTAAATATGTACACTTTTATTTTCTTTAAATGTCTACATTTCACATGGTGGACAATACTTTCAATACTTTGTGTTACAGTTCAGAGTGAAGGCAATAGGGTTTTCATGTTGCAACTTGGAGATTCCCACCCTGTCCTAACATCAATGGGGCAAGAAATGGGCAATAGATTTGGGTGGAGAACCTCGCCAGGATCTGGATCCTAATAATAATAATAATAATAATAATAATAATAATAATATGTCGCCCATCTGACTGGGTTTCCCCAGCTACTCTGGGCAGCTTCCAACACATATAAAAACATAATAAAACCTCAAACGTTAAAAACTTCCCAATACAGGGCTCCTTGAAGACCTTCTGCATGCAAAGCACGTGCTCTGTCCCCGAGCTGCGCCCCCCCCGCCCCAGTCACTTCCTTTTCCACACACTCCTCCCTTGCACATTGCTTATTAGAAAACTCTGTGTGTTTGTTGCCCTTGATAGAATAGGAAGCCTGTTTCAAAACACCTTATATATCTATGCTTGGCTCATAGGCTGTCCCTTATCTAAACAGGACATTTGCTTTTTGCTCAGACCCCTCCCTATCTAACAGAATCTTGGTTTCTTCACAAAGCTGCCCTTGTTCAAACAGAATAGTATTAAACAAAACAAAAAAAAATCCAAATGGGTGTGTGGAGGAAACAGAGGGCACAAGCTGCAGTGTTTTCACAACCTAAACCGTTTAAAGTCAGAATCAGGACTGTGCACTACAAAGAGATCTATAAAATCTATCAAGTTTCTAGCCCTGTGTCTTATGGAGCTATGCTGCCGGAAGCTCCAGAATAGGCTAGGAATACAGTGCTAGCTCATTGCCCCCCCCTCCAAAAAACCACAGTTCTGCACATTTTAGAACTGTAATTGCAGGAACCTCATGTAAGTTATTGAGGCTGAATGGTTATTAAACCTCAATAAAGAGGCCTGCTTTGGCAGCACAATCCTATGCATGTTTACTCGGAACCAGTTACACTGTGTTTCATGGGAAGGTTTTAAAATGTTTAATTATGTCTGATGGGCGGGGTATAAATAAAATTGCTGCTGTTGTTGAATAGGATGTCCCTATTTTCACCGGAGAAATGTTAGAGCTATAGTATTTATTGCTGCCATATTATCCTGAAGACTCCAATGATGTATAAACAGCAGTAGCAATAAAACTGGTTTCAACCAGCAGCATAGCAAGCGATCTTAATAATAAATGAGAATAATTTTATTATATGTACCCCACCATGTTACTGAGCTGCTCCAGCCACTGTGGGCAGCTGGTGGGCAGTTTCCAGCATATACAAAAACATAATAAAACATTAAAAACTTCCCTAAAAAGGGCTGCCTTCAGTGAAGGCAGCAAGTGAAAAACTGAAACATCTAAAAGACCTGCGAAAATGATCAAGCTCTTCATCTTTCACTGAGAAGGTACCATGAGTGAGTGCCAGGAAGGTCTCCTTGGGGAAGCTGGTCTAGAATAGGGGTGCCAGAAAAGGTTCTGCTCCCCAGTTACCACCTGTCTCACATCTGAAATGCCTCATAGTCAGGTCCTTATATATAAACATGTCCAAGCTGTTAACACAAGGGAAGAAAGACAAAGGTGAGTGCTATCACTGAATCATGCTTGAAAATAGATCATTTGCCGGTCAGTGAGATATACAGCACCTAACGGGTCCCAGTCAGTATCCCCTCTGCTGTAATTTGGAGGACCTGCAGTTTTGGTGTGGTCTTCAAAGGTAGCCCCATGTAGAATGCACTGTGGTAGTCTAAGCTAGGGATGTAGCTGGCTACAGATACCCAGATGTAGAATAAATACCTCTCGTGTTGCTCATGCATGCTCTAGTAAACTCTTTGGGGTGCCAGGAGGAATATCTTAGCCCTTTCTCCTTCTGCATAAATGAAAGAGAGTTGCTGAGGTGTAAATGGAGAGTTGGGTTAAGATAGAGTCATTGGGTTAAGTTTTTCAACCTCAGTTCTTTAAGTGTAAACTGGGAATAGCATTGGCCTACTTCAGAGAGGTGTTGTGAATTCCAGACCAATAAGGGCGTTAATACACATAGCAAATGTGTATAATTTTCTTAAGTCAATAATAATAATAATAATAATAATTAAAATACACATAGCAAATCAATTGTACTATATGATACCAACTGGTAGTGAATAGTAGCAGATGAGGGGGAAAGGACCCTTTTGCTCCCTCCCTTCCTAAAGGTAAAATTGCTTGGGAAGTGACAGGAACTACTCTTGATGCAATGAAAGATGCTTATGGCCCCCACCCCCCAGTCTTGTGAATGGCTTGACAGGTGTTGAGATCATTGGGTGGTGGGTGGAATCTTTGAAAGGTGTGCTAGCAAAGATGTAGGGAGCTATGATCTCAGTGGGTGTCACAATAATTCACAAAAACAATTCACTGCGCAAAAAGGAAAAAAGACAGCTGTCACAGAGAATTAGGGATACAACAGGTTAAATGGTAGATCCTTCATAGAGCTTTGCTTTTACCCAGAACTCGCCTGCCTGCCTTCCAAATGGGCAGAGATGTATGTTGCAGCCACAGGTTTACCTGTTTTACCCCAAGCAGCGTCATCCCATTGCATCAGTTTTGCAAGCATGTTTCTATAAATATGCAACCAAGTGTTGTGTTCCAGGTCTTCAGTTTGGAGTTAGCCAGCTGTGCTCCCTGGAGTTCATGCTGCATTTTCTGCCAAAGAGCAGAAAGGACTTTTGACTTAACCTAACCGTAACCCACACCACCTGCCTGTTACTCTGATATGACCTACCTGCCTGTTTGAACAGTTAGTGCAAGTACCAAAGGTTCAAGCCAACATCTTTTTTCCTGCTTCTTTCCTGCTAGTAATTCTGTTTGGGGGTCATTAGCTTTTCGGTTAATTTAAACTTGTGTGTTCTGAGCAGAGGGGATTCTCTTTAACCGGGGGGGGGGGGAAGCTAGCCTTGGTCCATCAGTTTAGTCCATGAGGCCATTTCCCCCAAAAAACACCTGTCAGCTTATGTGGGAGGGTGCACTTCTGGTGTCCGCAGCCAAAACAGCAGGATTTAGCCCTGCTCAGATCCCTCCCACCATCAGGGTATTAAGAACTCATAATCATAGAATTGTAGAGTTGGAAGGGACCATAAAGGTCATCTGGTCCAGACTCCTGCAATGTCGGAATCTTTTGCCCAACATGAGGCTCAAGCTCATAACCCTGAGGTTAAGAGTCTCATGCTCTACCGACTGAGCTATCCCAGTGAAGTGACTGATCAAAAGACCCTAGGAATAGTGCTGCAGGGTGTAAACTCATTTGGTGTTGGACAGTTTTTCCCAAACTTTTTTTTTTTTGCCGTGGGCCACTTGAGAACTGCTGAGGGTCTAGGAGCTAAATGGCACCTTAAAGCTTGGTTATGGGCTCAACAACGGAATGTTTAGGTCACATTTTTTATAACAAGAATACAAAGCTGAAAATGAATGAACTGCAGCTAAAATATTATGTTCCTTTTTCACATGGTCTGGTCCTTCCACTGCCCACCGCCATAATGTTCTTAAGGGTCTCTTCTCTAGACTTCAGAGAGGAGCTGGAAGTGGGGAGGCAGAAAAAGGCCCTCCTTTCCTTCCACTCTGCAGTCTTGATCTGAAATCTTAGGCGCAGTAGTGCGCCCAGAGCTCAGAAACTGCTTGGGCTAATGAAATTCCCTATCGCAAAATGCACCTAGAACAATGGGAGTTTCAAACACTGTGGCAGGTCACAGTTTTAACAATTGTATTGTGCTGTGCTAGATGCTGTGTGGTTTTTCACTGCATTTTCATCACTGCTTTCATTTACAGTTTGGGAACACCTGGCATAGGGTATGTGCTGTGAGATAGGAAATCCTGCCTTGACTTCCTTGGTGACTTCACCAGGGACCCCTTTGGATGCAATCATAATAGCATAGGAGCAACTGCAATGATTGGGGGCTTTCACATTGGAAGCTGGGGGTGCAGGTGATGGCCATTCCAGCCAGTCCCTTGGGAGTGGGAAGTAGTCATGCTGGGTACCCCTCCCACATGTTCTGGAGTTTCTGTGCTAGCGTAGCATATGAATGATAGAAACTACAGTGACTTCCATGCTGCTTGGGTGATGTCAGAAGGAGCCATAAGTTTCCTTAAAGGAAGCTGCTTCCTCTAGGCTTGTCATGTCTCCTAAGCTTCAGGTCCTGAGATGGACATGGTGAAGTGTTGGAACTCAAGGGATGGCGCCTGACAGATCAGAGGGTAAATCTTGGTGAGGGGAAGACTCTACAAACAAATAAAATAATATTATTTTAAATAAGTTAAAAAATGTATTTTTCCTGCAAATAGTTCCCATCCAATGATCAAGGGCTTCTTAGGGTTGTCAGGGGAGGAGAGTTAAATAAAATGATAGGAGGAGGAAATTATTCAAATATTGGGGTGCGTGAAGAAATTTTCATAATCGTACATTTAAACTGATGTTTGCTCTCATCCCAAAGGTGAGCAATAGGATTATTTCCTAGACTAACATCTCATTAGACTCTTTGCCTATGGCAAAGTTTGCACAGCATGCTAAACCGTAGTTAATAGTTTACCATGGGCACAGTGAGTACTCTTGCTCTGCTCCTCCTCTAGCATGAGCCAAACCATAACTTTGGCTTAGTCCAAACCAGTGGTCATGGTTAGTTTTGCTGCAAACAAAACCTTGATGTGAAGGCAAGATTTGGCTTGGAGCAAAGCAGCAGCCGCTTGCATATTCACGGTAATCCATTAGAGAACAGTAGATCAATTATCTTTATATCTGAAAGTAATGCAATAATTTTATATGGCTTGTCTTGACTGTGGTTTTTGCTAGCTTGCAGTGTTTTCTGTTGAGCAGCTTCAATCTAGCAGCTTTGCAAGTCTCTAACAAAGTTCATACTGGACCCAACTCCCTTTTAAGTGCTTTGGGCATACCAGAGCCTCACTAATGTTGCATTAGAAAACCCAGTGTTGCACTTGCATTGTGATGCTATTTTTGCAGGCAGACATATTTAGAGCAAATGCTTTATAATTATCAACGCCAAGTAATTTTAACTCACAGAGAACTGGGCTGAAAGAAGCCTCAGTGTTGCTTCTATTTCTGCGGATCTGGCTTTAAAAGTACGGTGTTTCAGAGTGCAGCGTAAAACTGATCGGAGTGAAAGCAAACACCACGGTGGTAGGATAACCTGCAGGAAGGTAAATTATCTATTACAATGGTAGCCTATTGTGAAAGTGTTTGAGCAGTTAGAATATTAGGCACAGTTTTGGAGGCCTTGATTCAAATTCTTATTAAGGGAGGGCAGTTCTGAATATGCGCCGTTCTCCTGAGGTTGCCTTTTGGGTGCTGCACATACAAAGGTACAGTTGAGCTCCATGCATTTAGGGGTTTATAAGGGTCAACATTTAAGACATTTGCTGGGCCAGTCCAATATATTTTGTTGCCTGAGGCGGAGCTGAAAATAGTGCCTTCTTTCCCACACAAGCCGAGGGTCGTATAGTACCCAAGACTGCTGCTTTGGCACCTGAGGTAGAAAAATCCCACAAGCGCCTCTCCTCCCAACTGAGCAGTAAATATGCTTGTGTATTTATATGATATAAAAATATTTAACCACAATTCGCCTGCCTCTCCTGAAAGTTCAGAACCGGCTGCTGCTGCCTCACTCTGCCAAACTGCAGGACTGACTTTCAACCTCGCCAGCCCCTGAGATATTCAAAATGCTGTTTTCGTGCCCTTCTAACTCCTCAGCTTGTTCCGAGCGTGCCGCTGCCTGCCCTCTCCGTGGGTCGCGCGCCGCCCTCCCATTCATCTGCTCGCTCGCTTGCTTGTGTGCGGGGAGGGCGGGGGAGGCGCGCGCGCGCCTTTTTAACTCGCGTCTGCTCGCTTGTTCGCGCGCGCAAAAAAAGAGTCCTTTTTTTTTTTTTTAGCTGCAGAGGCTGCGAGCTCGCCCGCAGTGCGCTCGGGAAACCGGCGGTGGCGCTCGCGCCTCCCTTTCTCTGGCTCTTTCTTTTTTTCTCTCTCGCTTCCCTCCCCTCCTCCCTCCTCTTTTCGCTTTCCCTCCTCCTCCCCCCGCCTCGCGCTGCCTTTCCTGCCCGGTGCATTCTCCGATTAAAGGGAGGAGGAGGAGGGCAGAGAAGGAGCCCGGCCGCCATTTTTTCCCCCGAACAGAATTTAGCAGCAGAAAAACAGCGGCGGCAGCGCCACCTCCGCGCCCGCTGCGGCTGCCCTGCTGTCGTGCCCGGGCGGAGGGTAGGGCGCGAAGGCACAGGATAAAAGGGGGCGAAGACGGGGAGAAGGCAGCGCCGCAGAGATTATTGCACCCTGTGCCCCACTTTGAAGAAGAGCGAGCGAGCGAGAGACCCTCCTTTGCAGTAGGAGGAGGAGGCGGAGGCACCGCAACAGCAGTCGCCGCCGCCACTGGGGGGAGGAAAGAGGAGCACCTTCTTTCTCCCCCGCCGCCGCCTCTTCTTCCTCCTCCTCCTCCTCCTCCTTTTCCTCCGGGGTGTGGGGTGTGGGGGTGGTTGCAAAAGAGGAGACAACCTTCTCCCCCCCTCCCCAAATCCCTTCCTTCCCCAGCCCTTTTCCTGCCCGCCCGCCCTCCTTGCCTGCAGGAGAGCAGGGAGCAGGCGGGCAGGGAAAGGGGAGCCGGGGCTGGGAGGAAGGGGGGGAAAAAGGGGGAGCGGGCGAGAAAGAAAGAAAAGCAGCGGCGACGAAGACGACTACGGCGGTGGGAGAAGCAGAGGCGGCGGCGGCGGCAGTGAAGAGAACTCGGCTTCACTCGCCTTGTTTGCAAACTGCGCCCTTTTTATTTTTTTTTATTTTTTTTTGCACCGGGCCGGATCCGCCCGGACTCTGCTCTCGGCTCCATCACGTGGTAGGTGCCGCCGCCTGCTTGCTTTGCTTTCGCCCGCCTTGCTCCATTGCTGGCTTGGCTTGGCTTTCCCCGTTGCCCTTGCTCGGCCCTTCTCTCCCTGCCTTTGTTAGCGCGGCTGACTGGCTGCGCCCTCGGAAGCGCCCTCGGCGGCCAGAAAACAACTTATTTTTACCCCCCTTTCTCCCCCCCAACACCTTTGCCCTATGTTTCCTATACCGTTGCTTTTAATTTCTGGTCCTAAGATGTACCCTCTATTTAATTATGTTTATTCCTCTCCTCCCGCCCCCCCTCCTTTAAGCATAACAGCGATGATAATAAACTTCCCTGCCCGCTTTCCTTCTTCTCCAGCCCCCGGTGCCAGGCGCAGCCAGGCTCCCAAGTCTCCGTGACGAATATTATTATTTTTTGCCCTGCTACTTTCTCGTCGCCGTCGTTGGTTGTTGTTGCGTGTTACGGGTTCGCAACTGTCCGAGGCGTTTGCGGTGTCCTGCACCTAAAATGCAGCTCCCCTTCTCTTGCCCCCCCCCGCGGTGCTTTAAAAAGCCATGCAGTTTGGTGTAATCGCGCTTTATCAGGTGGCAAAAGAACGTTCAATCCTTAAAATCGATCATAGTTGAGTGCGGGTGGTAGATTACGAGCACTCTAGCCGGTCTCTTTACGGTTGGGGGGTGGAGGTGGGGGTAAGGAGGTGGGTTGACTTTGTTTGGGAATAGAGACGACCACTCCCGCAGTGCTCACTTTACAATAGAGTAAAGCACTTTGCACAGTCAAAGCGCTGTCTTAATGCCCACCATAATCGCGTCTCTCTCTCTGCCCCCCCTCCCGCTTAAGTGGCTTTAAACAAAAAACCTAGCCCGACTCTTTTGAGACTGGTGTTTGTATGTGCGTGTGCGCGCTTAGGCGAAGTATTGCGGCTCCATTGCATGAGCGAGGGGGAGGGGGAAGAAGAAGAGAGGCTGGTTTCTGATGGCGCCACTTTAAATTGAAGGCTTCCCCCTCCTTTAGCAAAGAAAAGAGAGCTTCCCAACTGGAGTTTCTTTCTCTTTGTGTTTAGTGTGTCTCTCCTCCTCTACCCCCCTCCCCCTATTCATAAAACATGCACGCCTTCCAGTTTGCTACTTCTCACCAGCATTCGAACGCCGGCGCGCCCGAAGTTCCATCACAGCCTTCTAAACCCATCCCCAGTTTCCATTCTCAAACATCTTGCGCGTGTGCGCCTGTGTATGTGTGTGTGCGCGCGCGCCTGTGTTGGAGATCTCGCCGTCACGTGGCTGGTTGGCAGTCATTTTTTTGTGTGCGCGTTGTGGTGACTGCTTGCTGTTGTATGGGTAGCTTTGTTACTACGGTCAACAACAATGAATTTG